CATGGGCTTGTCGACAGGAGAGGAGTGACGCTCCGCGTTCACATGTGAGTTGAAATTAGAAGGTAAATGCCTAGCAAAGCATGTTGGGGAAGGGCCAAGAATCGGGGGGTTGAAAACTGGGGGGATATAAGTGAAGTTGGAATGGGACGGTAAGAGTGAAAAAGCGTAAGAGGGGGAATAAGAAGACGGGAAGGCTTGAGCAGTAGCATCCAACCCCTATCCACCCTGCTCGACGCAGCAGATAGGGCACCGTTTATTATCCTCTGCGGTGGCCAGAGCATCAAGAAATTGTTTGAAGGAAAATTCATAGTATTGCGTGGGCAGGATACTGTCAGGTTGCCCAGGCCTAGACAGGAGAACGATTAGGGTTCTCAACCAAAGCCTTTGGTTCAAAAACCTGACCGCAAGGCAGCGGGTTTGGCGTTGGGCTACAAGGAGTCCATTTTAAGGAATAAGGTGCCACCTTCATTCCAACCCCCAACCTGGAGGACCAGGAGGCTGAGTTTGTCTGGCCTCTAACCATTGACCAATCTGGTATGAGTGACTCTGAAGGTGCAAAAGCACCACCCAGCGTAGCTCAATGGATCGCTGAGGCACACAAACCATCGCACCACGGTAAGGTCCAGCCTCAGCAGACTAATAAACTATTAAATCTCGTGTCCAAAAAGTGACAACGGACTTTATGAAAAATCATCGAGACGTCACCCTTATCACCTTTGCCTCTAAACTTCTCGTGGGTAGCGTTCTTCAGCGACTTAATGATCTTCATAAAATGCAGACTGGCTTCTGCCCCAATTGTGACTGTAATGGCCACCTAGGTACTCCTAGTCAAGCGCTAGAGCGTAAGCTTATATTGTGACTATGCCTGGGGGACGCATTCACTATGATGATTGCGCCAGGTTGCAACACTGCTTACTCTTGAAGGACGTGATAGGGAAACTTCTTTCCTCTCTGAAAGTCCTATGCCATGATTCCCAAAGCAGGATTGGGGTCTGTGGGAAGTTGTGTCTTGATTTCACCACAAAAAGTGCGATTCGCTATGGTCTTCTTACGTCATCCTTTTCTTTGTGGTACAGAGAATCACAAAGGACCCCTATCTTTGAACCACTTCCAAAGTAAAGGTTCTGTCAGGTGAGCGACTGACAATCTTTGAGTTTACGTACAACATAATTCTCCTCTTGTCGGGTCCCGAGAATGCAAATTCTGTCGAAGTCTTTGACAAGTAGCGGTGAACCTTATGTATCTTTCAAATACAAAGTGCTGCTGCAGGACTGGGCGCTGCCAGTCCTAGCTCTCACCAGACAGCCACAACCTGGGGTCGTATCCTTTCGCGCATCACCATAGCCCACCTGGGTATTCAGGGGTGATCTAAGGAAAAAAATGATACTGTTGTTAAAGCTTTTAGGTTTTAGAACATTGCGGCAAAGTCTGTGTTACTGCACCGATTAGTAATGCGGCTATCTCTCACTAAATGTGTATAAATTAATCAAATTTTATCACTGAAGGTTACGGAGTATCGCGTCGATGGAGTTTCCGTTGCAGCTCAACTGCCTCCGCCAGCTAGATTATATCTTCGGTATGCCCGATGATCGTATTTCTCGGCTTGCACAGTGCGCCGTCGCTTTGTCTATTTGGAATTAACCGCAAGCTGGCCAGCCGACTAAGAGTTCAAATATATGAATAGACTGGCCTAAAGACTCGGATAGTATGTACGTACTGCTTTCGTAAATAGTGATCTCGAGATGGACTATATCAATGTTTGGAGACTCCGACGGACGTGGCGAAGTAGTGCAAACGGTGGTGACCCTGCATTCCGTCTCGTGCACTTAGTACTTAACTTTCCATTCTTGTTAAGTTCACATATTCTGCCACTGGCTTCCTCCGTTTCACGAACCATATCCAACTAATTTATATTTCTTATTCATCGTTATTCAGACGACGTAGGTCATATTAACTGGTTCTCCCGCACTTTAGTGTCCGGATCATAACCGTCTAACTCAAATTCAGTAGTGTTGGGCGACAACCCTTGCTAAGGTTCTTGGGGATGTTTTATCTTTTGACAATCGCTTCACACCCTCAAACTGCTAAAAGCTGCTGCAGGAGCTTTAGCGTCAGAAAAGTTGCCTACCATGGCGCAGGGAGTTGTCCTACACTATCGGAGGGAAATTCTGCATCAATAACCTGAGAAAGTAAGATAATTTCAAACCCTTAAACAGCGCTACTTACGGGGCATGGCCGGTGTCGGATGATGCAAGCGTGTCGACAACTATTATGTAGCTATTAGAGTATAAGTTGGTGATAAATGGGCAACTTCTTTAGCGCAACAAATAATGATGGGTAAGGGTTTAGATACATGCTGCGTATGATCGGTCACGCCCTGGTCAAAAGTCCGTTGTATTATCTGCTCGATGTTAGATGTCGTAAAGATAGAGATGAGCAACATTTGACCTAGCAGTATTGAATGAAGTCACTAACGAGTAGGCTGGAAGGTGTTAGTCAGTCGCAACTTCCAATCTCGCGCTTAGCTCGAGAGCTTACTGGACATTGCTCGCAATCGGCATCAAGGTTGCATTTGCTGTCTTCTCGAAGTTGGACTGCCTCGTTAATCTAGGTCTGGAAGTAACGTACCTACAGGTAATGGCTAGTGCTGACTCAGAACAGTGAAAACCGCAACGGAGCTGTCTCATCGATGTCATCTTATCGTCACACTATAGCCAGCTGTCAGTGACAGCACCTTGTTGCTGACAAGCGGTACGCAGCTTTGCCCCGCGTGCTTTCTAAGTTCTTCAGCTTTATTAGTGTAGTTTTAGGTTTACATTCACTGGTTTATTAGTTTTCTTTACTCCTGGTTTTATTACTATTACTCGCTAGTCTATTACCATACTTCTTTAATCGTTTCCAAAGTATTAGTTTTCATTCTGTAAACCATACTATTTGCAAGGAAGCCAAGCAGTTATTCCACCTCCTGATGTGCCACTATTTACAAGGATGGTGAGGAAATTTGAAAATATAGGTGGCAATGACTTTTAAAGCATACCAAGTGTTAAAATACGCCGTCTGTAAGCGACTTGGAATGTTTTTAATAGGAACATAATGGTTATGTGATTAGGAGGATTGTAGGGCACAAAATTTACTACAAGAGTCTAGGTGTATTAAGAAGTGTTACTCATTATGGAGCAGGAGAGGGTAAGTCTTTAGTGATGGTCACTCGCTTTGACTCATCACTAACACACTGTTTCTCGGTAGTAGTCTCGGTAAACGAGAGCAAGTGATTTTGTGAAGTGAACTGATCTAACCTGATAAGTAAACTTTAAAAGTTACGTGTGCTTGGCATTACTACAAAACCGGAAATAACAACACTCGGATGCATGGAAATTATAAGGCAAGAACAATCAACTACTCAAGACAGTTCAAAAGGGTCACGTGGCATTCACTCTCTCACATGAATCAAATAACGTTAATGCCTTTCATTTTCCACCTTTACGTCAGTACTTTTTTCATTTTATTAGGAAGAACAAAGGGCATCTTCTCTGCATAAAGCCGGATTCAGCAGCGATTATGAGCTTCGTACTTGTGAACAGCATATTCTGAATGCACCCGGAATCCAAGTAACTATAGTTTACTAAGAGTAAAGCTTTCAATCGTACCACCAATCTTAAATTGTTATTATGTAGTTCTCCATCTCTGGTAGGTCCACACATCCCGATCGCAAAACGAAACTGTCTATTCATTCCGCTAATTTTGAGTACAAAGTCAGGACCAACTTCATGAATGGACGCACTAAAGGATACACTGCATGGTCACTGCAATGCTATTCTGAATTGCAATAGCATAAGTATCTAGCTTTAAACAGATAACATTTCTTTTCTAACAGATAGCGACATATTCACGTTAGCATAATAAACTAGTTACGTACGGTGTCGAACGCTTATATCATCTGCAGAATAGAAGGCGAAATAGAGGAGAAGCTACGCTTGTTCAGATCCGTACATGGATTTAAGTGCTCATTGAGGAAACATTTTTTATGGGTTCACACATTTCCCGCACAATGGCTGTTGACCACATAGTGCAGAAGATAGTCCATCTGCACGTCCATCTGCATGTGAAATAGGAGCAAACATGAACAGCACAGGTTGCTTGGGCAGCAGTTGAGCTGTTCGCTCAGCTTGTCAAGTTAATTGTAAACATTTTTTCACCAAATGAAGTGGCATTATCGGTGCGTTTTTGTGTAGCGTGTAGCGTGTAAATTAACTGTAACAAGAACCTGGATTGCTATTCACTCGAACTTCTTCCTCATCAGATACGCTGTCGTGTAGAATAGCCTACCAACCACAGTCAGGTCGTGCATAAGTGCTAGCATAATTCACATTCAACTTGGTTACTTCCTGGAGCAAAACTCGATATTTCCCATGTTGCCATCGAATAAATCACCACACGAGTTCTTCCAAGATGGACCAAGGAACATATAATCAATGGGAAAAGATGGTACACAAAATACAGCAACAACAAAGTTATGATTCCCAATTATTTTGAGATCACACTTCCCAGCATACGTATCTCACTCATGCATGAGCATGGTCATTATTGTACTGATGATCTGTCCGAAATGCAGGGACAGGGTCTCGCACAATCGTAAAAATATACATATTATTATTATTATTAGCATAGGAAATCATCTCCTCGTGGCACAGTTATCGAAGTGTTTTTACGCTGCACCACTTAATACACGCTACACAATAGCGTACCAATGATGTCACCTCCGTTAGTGACCAAACATCTGCAACAAAACTGCCAAGCTCAACGAACAGTGCAACTGCTACGTAGTCATCTGCTTGCGCCGAACCTACAGCACTTAGATAGCGTTGTGCTCTAACGGCATTGTTCAAATGCTTGAACAGTGGAGAAAATTCGACACAGCAATTATACCTCTCTGGTCATAAAGTGTAAACGAACATAAGCATTACCCTGACACATTTTCAGAAACCCAACAAAGAACTCACCCTGAGCACGCGCACACCCCTCCTCGTTGGGTACTTGAAGTAAATCTGTCTAAATTCAATTTTCCCGCTAAACGGTGTGGTTGGCTCTTTGCCTACGTTTGGTAAAATCTGCGGAATGCGATCCAGAGTAGCCAAAACAGTTCCAGCTATGGAAACGGCCCGCGATAATTCTGGCCCAATTGATGCACTTCTACCCAAGGACTGAGCGCCCATATTTAACACTGCGAAGACTCTGTGAAAAGCAGAATACAAAACATCTATTTTTATTCCTTTCTAAGTGGTGTGTATTGCTATTTGGGATTGACGTCAGGTTGCTTTTCCTCTAATACAATTGCCAAGTTATCCGTAACAATTAAGGTGAAATTTGCAAACACCTTCTCAGCCAATGCCCTTATCTGCATGTTTCTGCGGAATATCACAGTAGTAGCAAAATGTTATCAAATGTTTTTTGGCGCATCTTTAACACAACTAGTTGTCTGTGACGGATAACACTGCATTTGCCACAAAAATTTGGTGTAAATGGGACATAAACAATCCCGAGAAATCAGTTGTACTTAATAATGAGATCACCTCCATCCTAGACTTGAATATACGTCAACTATAAATACACCAAATGTAATACACAAAGCGTTAACAGTGAAAGCGTATCTTTCTCTATTTGGCTAATTAAAACACAGAAGGCAAATACACCCTACCGTGGGTCTCAAACTATGTCAGCCTCCACTGCACATGTGCCGAATTAGAATGAGCAATTTCAGAGAATTTGCTTGGAAAGGATCCAAGACAGTTTGAGAAAGGTGTGAATTAAATTCGAGAAGCCATCTCGTTGCAGGAATCGAACTCCTCCACCAGGTGGATAACGTAGCATAAAACGGGCAGCGCCAGATGGAAGAATACAGTTTAGAAATCCGAATTTCTCAGTTCATATAAGTAACGGTTACTTGATCCACCACACTTGTTGAAACAGCTAATAGCTTTCAGTTATGCTAGGGAACTTAACCATGTACACAAGTCACCCTACATATGGGCACTGAACCCTTTGGATTTCACGTGCAATTTTAGAATGATTAGTCAGAGAGCTAGAATGGGTTCGAATAGTGTTCATATAAGGAAGGGGTAACAGAAGCGATCGAAAGCAAACATTGATCACCAATCCAATAGAACAAACTGCAAATTGCTACTGGTGCTCAGCGAGGTAGTCCACGAGGCTAACTAAATGCTATGGTGGTGCAAAAGCAGGGAAAATAAATAATCTAAGCAGCTAAGAACCACAACTCAAGTTGTTCTAGTTACTAAGCTGATTATGACGCGATGTGATTGGTTTGCGTTGCATAACCTCTGTCCTTGATTTGCAAACGTGTGACGTTGTATTGATTTATTTCTAAAGGCTAGCTACATGTATGGGCAATTATCCGATTTTACTAGACTCGCATGGTGTAGATGCCACAAAATTGGATTTCCGGTGTGCTCTTAAAGCAACCAGATCTAAGAAACAACACTTTGAATGTGATTAGCATCGTAAACTGACGTTTACGTGCTGCAAGAACCAAGTGCAGAGATTTTGTTTCGATTGTCGCTCTTCCAGACAGCATCGGCTGCAGTTTTTGTTATCAACTTGGACACATCTGTGAACCAATTTTCATGTGCATCAGGAAGATATGGCAGAGAGGTATGTAAAGGGACACATGGAGAAAGACTTGCATCGGAATAGAATCAACAGAAAACTAAACATAGTGCAAAAGTTAAAGTCGATTGTACTCGGCGCGTTGGTCGTTGTCGTAGTTTTTCCACAGGGACAACAGGACTTACCTAAACACAGCAACCATTTGCAATTGCCCGATGCTCACCAAATACGCTCCGAGTGAGAAAGCGGCTGCGAAGCAAAACATAATGACGGATTGCGTCAAACCGTATAACACCGCATAGGTCAAGTTTCGCTTCAGCCCAGTTCTAAAATAAGCATAGGCATCGAAATGTGAGATCGCGAATGGTTTTGCTTTTATGCAGGCAAAAACCCCACACAGAGTAAGTACAAATCATTAGCGGAATCCCTAATTTGACTTTCGCAAACAGACCAATGTTCAGTTCAAAAAGGCTCACAACGCAACCCGTAAAATAAAGCCGAGTACGAAAATATCCTCAGTGTATCGCGGTGTGTTCAAGTTCAAGCGGGACTGGAACGATAGGGTTATCCCGTGGGTGTTCCTTCTTCAGCTGGTCGTTGAACCATGAGTTGGCAGACTTTGAAATACTGATGCACCTAAAACAAAGACCGCATCACACACTGTCCAACCAATTAATGCCCACGTATCCTGCTTTAACAGTCCCTGCTGGGCCGGTTACGTGAAGTTAGCAAGAGAAAAATGTAAACTCAGAAAGCAAAAGAGAAAGTGGAAAGAGCTATGTAATTAGAATATCAAGATATTTGAGTCATCAAAATAATGCAAAGTGAATGTGAGTCAGTTAGGAAAAAGGAATGATTTGGTGTTTTCACCGAAGAGCATCGAGCTAGCGCGCAAAACACCAACCGTAGGTTTCCCCAACCACATGATTTGGAAGCGAATTCCAGCGATCTATAACTCAGCGCGACGGACCTAGCAGACCGTGATTTATGCAGTTTCAGTGGGTGACCGCGGAGATTAGGTAACGTAGTGAGACTAAATAGCCCTGACAAGTCCGGGCCAATCTTACCCGTCAAAATTCGATAAGTGAGAATCAGGTCCCCTCTTCTTCTTCGGTAGTTCATTGAGTACATCGCAAAACTGAGTAAGCGTTCAGGATACGTCTGTCCCCGTAGACCCTACACTAACCGAGTGCCCACTCGTAACATCCTCTCCAAGTCCATTTTGTCTCGGTTAAGACATGGTGGACAAGCCTGGATACAATATTACTGGTGGGGTCGAACGAATGCCGAGAATAGCTTCACAAACAAATTAGCCGTTAGGATTCCCAAAGAGCGGCAAATAAACCATCTCGTACGAAGCCCCCGACAAGCAGTCTTCTTCCAGCTGTCACCAGAATGAAGTGCTGATGCTTGCACGACCCCTAAATCAACCTGTTGAGTGACAACAGTGAGTTCACCACCCCCGACAACATGTCGGGTGGGACGATTAGCAGCTCCGATTCGGAGAACAGAGAACTTGGCCCTATTTATCAGCATCAACCATAAAGTAGGCCATTCCCAGAGTCTGTCGAAGGCAGGCTGAATTGTCTCGGAACCCCCCGGGATATCCACAATATTCCAGAGCTTAAGGTCGTCAGAAAACATTAGCGATGACACTCCCAGCTCTCCCGGCAAGTCAATTACATAGATCGCAAAGAACAATGGCCCCAATACCGAGACTTGCGGAACGCCACTAAGGACAGCTTGCCTGAGCGAAAGGCTACGCCCCACCCGTACTCACTGTTCCCTTCCCTCAAGGAAGGCAGACACCTACTGAAGGGCACGACCAGATACCCCGTAAGATCTCAGCTTTAGTGAGAGCCAACGATGTGGAACTGTGTCAAAATCTTTCGAAAAGTTCACCAATAGCACGCCACAGTTTGGCTATTCTCTAGCGCTTCGGCTCAGCTTCCACGAGCTACAGGTAGATTAGCCTGACATGAAATCCCATTGCGATATCCATGTTGCGCAACACAGAGAAGGTTAAAGCTATTCAGGTGGTTCTCCACTGAATCCCTTATCAGCTTTTCAAACAACTTGCCTACTACGCTTGTCAAACTGACAGGCCGGTAGTTCGCGGGTAGAGTGCTGTCACCGCCCTTAAAAATCCGACAGATGATTGCCTCGATCCATTCCGAAGGTAGGATGCAGCTGTCTAGCAATATTGAAAACACGCATGTGAAAGGACCACTCAGATCAGTGGCCAATTCATTCAACAGCTTCGGATGAATTGAATCAGGACCGCAAGCTTTAGAGGGATTAATGCCTTGCAGTAGCTCGAAGACCTGAGTCTCCATTATGCTAAACTCAGCTAAGCAAGAATCCTCTGGAAAGCTTGAAACCAATTCCATCTATGGTAAAGAGGTCACCCGAGCAAAGTCCTTAGTATAATGAGCACTAAGTATACAAGCCTTGTCATAGTCAGTTTGCGCACGGGTCCCGTCTGCTAGCATTAACGCTGGTATAGACAGTTTTGTCCCGCTGCGTCTTTTAACGTAAGCAAAAACTTCTTGGAATTAGCTGCGGCCGAGTCCACTGAACCGTGCTCGTACTGGAGACCGGCAGTTCTGAGATGCTGCTTACATTTATTTCTAATCTCTCGATAACTATCATAGGTACTGGCTGATGGAGCTGCTTGGTAGGTTCGCCAGCATCTAGACCATTTCTTGAGTAGGTAATTGCCTGTGGTATCTATGCATGGAGGCTTTGCACTTAACCATCTTTTCCTCATGAGTGGAATATATGGAGTGGAAAGCTCCGTAAGGTATGCCTTAAATTTATCCCAGGCAAACTGGACAGTCAGCCATCGAGATCTCACAGTTCAGAACTGAAGCCTTAGTTCGCATTGCAGTAAAGTCCGCCCGCCAACTATTCGGATGTAATTCAACAGTGGTCTCTTGGTGCCTTGAAAGAGCACATCGAAAGGATATGAATGTGTGATCGCTGGACCTGTCAGACACGAGTCGACCGACTTAGCGGAAACCAGTTATAAAGTAGATGGCATTTGGTTGTTCATATACCTAGTGGGAAAGTCCACGAACTAGTGCAAAAGCACTCGGAGAGTCACCTCAAGAAAGTCTGTGCCGAATGTTCCTGATGCCAAAGTGCAAGGTAGATCGGCCCAACGGTCTTGCGGGAGGTTGAAATCCCCTAGTACTAAACACTTGTTGGCAGTCCGAGTGCGAATAAAGTCAAGTATACCCCTGGAAGAACTTCCAGGACCTTGTATATTACCACAAATGGAAACTGGTAGAGGAAATGCACAAAACATCCGACATGGCTTTAACAGTCTGATCCGAAGACTGGAATGGGCATGTACTCAACACACCTGTTACAACTCACATACAGTACAACGCCACCGACTTGGCGACCAACGGAGCGATCAGTTCTAAGCAGCGCGAGGCCAGGTAAACACACCTCACCGTCCGTGATATTCAGAGAAAAGCACGTTTCAATAGAAGCAAGTATGTCGGGACGAGATTTGTCTACAAGTAGACCTAACTTGTGCACCTTGTTCCTTAGGCTACGCTCGTTGCTAAGTACTACCTCAAGGAAATCGGCACGACCATCCCTGGGTGGTGCGCCGTCAGGATGTGTTCTGATAGGGCGGAAAATAAGTTCCGGCTGACCACCTGAAAACCCACCAGACGGAGGCCTTGTTTACCAGCCGCCCGTCTAGTTTTGTGGTCTTTGATAGCCTACTTTAACTTCAATCTCTCTGCCAATGGTAGGTCCGGTTGTACGCTGACACCACTACCCTTAATTTCGAATGCAAACCGCAGTAATGATTTGCCTTCCTCCGGGGTAGATTGGACAACGCGGATTAGTCGGGGTCGTGGTTTTGGCGTAGTGATAGGGACGTTCCCCAATCTGGCTGGCTTTCTGACAGTGACACCAGGGAAGCCAGGTGGAAGCAGCTTGCTGACACACAGTTTCAGCCACCTGATGTCATCCAAGATGCGTTCCCTTGACAGAGCAGCCGCAGATTCAGTAACGTTACGAAATATAATACTACTATCCGTGAAAGGAGTGTTTACCCATGTGCCTTGGAATCAACACTTATACCAGCTGTTTTCACCACTGGCGATGTAACTGTCCCTGTCTCCGCAAACGACATCGAAGCAACGGTAGCGTAGGTTTTCCGCTCTATTACCGGTGTCTTACTAGTTCCTGGGTCTTCAAGCCCCTTCGAAGTTTTACGGAGAGAGCTAGTCCGTTTCTAATTTTGGCTCACGGAAGCAGGGGCCGTTGACCTTGTGTCACAGTAAGCAGTTACCAACTCTTCGTCAGAACGGACTGGTTAAATGGCGGCCGAGACGGTCAGCATCTTCGGAATGATCTCATGTGCACAACCGTCAGATGACTTTACGACTGTTAAAGACGGTATCTTTTTCGATGTCGTAGCAACTAATTCTCTGGGTTTAGCAGAGGGCTTCTGGTATTTCCGCACCCTACTTTTCTTCACTTTGATCGGCTCATGAGGATAGTCTGTAATGTTACATGGATTGGCCGGTTTGATGTGCGATTTCATGACCGAGTGACAGACCCCAGCAGATGGATCGTCAGCAATGTTGCCGTCTATTGCAGTGTCTTCAATCGCAATATTCATGGATTTTAAAATCATATGCATTTTCGCATCGAGCGAGGCAATAGAGGCGAATTTGGCTATCGCCTTCCGAACATCTGCCAACCTTGAAGCCAGCGCTGAAAGTTTAGCACCGGTGATGGCTGGGATCGTCGAGGTTTGAACGCAGCACTTAGCACAGCTGAAAAGAAAGTGAACGCTGGATAACAGCATTTTGTACTGTTCATCTTGTAGGCCGGTACAGCTTTCGTGATACCAGCGGCAGCAGAGGTCACACTGCATAACGCCAGATAAATCCATTACTGACTCTGAACAGTTAAACTGTTCGCAAGCTGCAGTAGACTGATCAAACGAGGAACCCATTGGTCCATCCGCCTCGGTGTTTAGTGAGACAGCCATGATCATGTGTAAAACAAAGTAGAAATACAACACGTATGAAATAGTAAAAGGACCGCCATAAAAAAGCAAAAACAGATTGCAAAACGGGATTAAAACGGGGAACAAATGGAAACACTATCAGTAAGTGTCAAAGTCGCTTTGGCCAGTACCACTTTAATCGATCCAAGATATCTTGGATCAGAGAAAATTGGACAGTAGACAAATTTCGTTTCAAGTGTTTATTCAAACACTGTTTTCCACGTTAGTTTAGCTAAAAAGCTCGATTAATATGGTACGCCGGAACATCGAGTTACCGCGTACTAC